CTGAGGCTCCCACAATATAAGAACTAGGGGTCACTAAATGAAATGAATAGGTAGCAGATGTAAAACAAACAAAAGGAAGCTTGCTTCACGCAGTGCACAGTCAATCTGTGGAACTCCTTGCCAGAGGATGATGAAAAGACTAGGGTTCAAAAAAGACCTAGATACATTCATGGAGGTTAAGTCCATCAATGGCTGTTAGTCAGGATGGGTAGGAATGGTGCCCCCAGCCTCTGTTTGTCTGGAAATGGATGACAGGGGGGATCATGTAGTGATCACCTATTGTGTTCCCTCCCTCTTGGGCATCTGGCATTGGCCACTGTCGCAGACAGGATACTGGGCTAGATGGACCTTTGGTCTGACCCAGTATGGCCATTCTTATGTTCTTATGTCTATCTTAGGTATTTATATAGTCCCCATCACCATAATACCTGAGGGTCTCCAATCGTTAAGGCATTTATCCTCACAACATCCCTGTAAAGCAGGACAATGGTATTATTCCCATTTTGCAGATGGAGAACGAAGACACAGGGAAGTTTACAGACTTGTCCAAGGTAACAGATTAAATCAGAGGAAAAACAATGAATGAGAAAAATAGTGGTCCCTTAAAATTTGTTTTTACCCCACTGCCAACCCCAAACATTAAAATATCATGAGTTACATTCCCAAGAAATCATAAGATTGTCTCAAAAATAATGAGATAGGTTTTAAAAAGATATATATTTGTGGTCCTGGTTTTTTGCCATCTCGTTTCTGAACCTTTAGGGTTCACATTTCTCAACATTTCTTCACAACCACAAACACTAGAAAATCACTTAAAAAAGATCTGAGATACTTAATGTAAGCTGGGGAATGGTCCCGCTATTGTGGGGAACTTTCCTGGCTTCTATACCACCCTGGTGAAATGAACCAGCAAAAGGATCTGAGTCCCCGCTCCCACTTCCTTTACCCCACAGCTTCCCTGATCCAGAGGGCTCCCCCTCTACTCTCTTGAGTAACAGAGTCCTCGAAACCCCAACAAGGCTGGGCCCAGGTTTCCTGGGGCTTAATCCCCAACCTTGTAGTCACTAGGGGCAGGAGTTAGGGTGTCTCCGAGGTGCTCTCTTCACACTGCAGGCTTTCTTGGCCCAGTGATCATTTCATAAGGTTCAAAGCAAATACAATTTATTAAACATCAACTGATTAAAGAGAAAAGAATAAGAAAAAATGAGAACACACAGCCCTGCTCTGCAGCACGGGGACATCAAAACAGCAGTCTGCAGAGTATAAAGACAGTCCACAGTCTCTTCCTTAGAGGCCCCTTAGAGGCCCTGGAAGTGCTGCAGGGGGGCTGCAGGCTGGACACGCTTGCTCTGGCAGTGACCATACAGCCTCAAGCTCTAAGTGGCCAGACCCCTCTCCCAGCCTGGCCTGCTGGGCCTCTTGGCTGGTGATATCTCCCTGCCCAGAGCCTCTCCC